GCGTCGGGGCTCTTCCTCCGTCCTGCTTCGTGCCACCCTGCCCGGTGTCTGTGGCTTTACCTCTCCCTGCGCCATAATTTATCCTCTGACACCACCCACTTGAACCACTTTTCCAAACATTTCAGACCTGTTCTACGAAGCCTCTTCCCAGGGATGTGGGGATTTCTGTTGTTTATTTTGGGGGGCACGTCCAGCAGCAGATAGAAGAGGCCAAGGAGCAAGGAAGCCACTTCTGCTTTCTGCAGAAGGGCCAGCCACGAGGCTACAAGGGGCTTCCAGGAAGCTTTGGGGGAACAGAAATCTACCCAGGAAAGCAGAATAAAAGCAACTTTCTGTGAATGCAAGACATCAAGTTTAATGCTTGCCTGTTTATTTTTAACAGAAGAGACAACCCAAAATCTCTGAGCAGGAACAGGTCATTAACGGGTTTAGTTCGTTTGTCTGGGTCATGAAAGGCGAGTGACTAATGAGTCCTCCCCAGACCGGCCTGCCCAACCACCCTGGCCCTGGGTTAGGCAGTGACCTGCTGAAGCACTTGATGGGATGGGATGGGGTGGGATGGGATGGGATGGGATAGGATGGGGTGGGGTGGGACGGGATGGGACATGTGTTCTCAGGCAGGAGAAGACGCATTGGACAGAGCCAGGAGGGACCCAGGAGCAAAGATGGTTTTGGTGGGTTCAGGGGACTTTATAGAAGGTAAAGAAATGGGGCAACAGCAGCAGAGTGTCTGAGGAGAGTCTGGGTCTGATCCCAAGCATTGCCTCTGCCACTCTGGTGATGGGATTGAAGAAAGAAGGTCAGAGGGATGGGGGCTTGTGATCATCAGACAGGTCATCAGTGCACAGACAGGTCATTTCTGCAGGGAGACGGGAGAAACCCTACCAGAACCCCAAGAAATTCATCCCAGTCCCCAGAGAGGACCCCGAGGGCAGGAGGGACGGGTGGCACAGACCCCGATGGCAGCACCATGGCATGGTGGTGGACATCAGCCCAGCTTCCATGCAGAGATCTGCTCCCAGGAAGGCAAGATGCAGCTGTGGTCTGCGTGCAAGGGGTGGTGAGGACCTGATGGGAACCCGCGTGGGCTGACACTGAGTGGGAGCAGCAGCCGTGACCTGGCTGTGGCTTGGGGATGGGGCAAGCCAGGGCTTCTGAGAGGAGAAAGGTGGAAATAGACTTCCTTGAAGACTGGCTCATGTTTGTGTGACTTCTCTGGAAGGAGAAAGGAGAAGGAAATACAACAAATGTGCTGACAACTCTGGTTTGGAAGATGTGGTCTGCAGGACATCGGGTCTGGTGGCCTGGCATGGTGGCAGGGTGGCCATGCAGAGAGCTGGGCATGGCACCGCTAGTTTCTAGTGCCGTGTTCCCCAGGAAAGGGCTCTGGAGGAACAAAACGCGATACACAACCCCCGAGCCCCCTTCTACAGCCTCTGCATCGCCCCCGGCTCTCCCACCTTCCCTTTTGCAGCTCCTACCTCATCCCCGACGTACAGACCCTCCAGCCCAACGAGCCACCAGGTCACACCACTTCCTCAATGCGGGTTAAAAGCAAAAGGCTGCAGTTAAGGAAGAACTGAGCTAATGGCTTTTTCCAGCCAACATCTCCTCACACAGAAAACCTTATGTGCCGAGCTCTGCACTCCCTTTTAAGGCTTTTCTGATTTTATTGGTGTCCAGACCAACTGCAACCTCGCTATAATTTATAATTGTTCCAATAGAACTTTTTTTTTGATTAAGAAAAAACCCAACTTTAGAAATTAAAATGGCTAGGCACAGAAAAAACAACCAATGTAGAGATGGGAAATATTGTCTGACTCATGCAACGTGTCATTTTTTTAGTGAGTGATCATGAAAATTAATAGTTTAACATGGTATGTGAATCCTCTGCATATGATAAATGCAAAGAAGCTGGAAGAGCACAAGGCACTCGCATGCTGGGGATGCTGGTCCCTGGCACTGACGCCACCAAAACCCTCCTCTGGTGGAAGCCTTCATCACCAACAACCATGGCCAAAAAGGAAAAGGCAAAACTATAACAACAACCAACTTTCATAAATTCACCAGAGCCTCCTTGCCATGGCTGGAACAATAGCATTAGAAAAGGTGACAGTAAATGCATCGAGGGAAATTATTTATTACAAATGCTATGGTAGATAGTAAAAAGACTTTACAAAGGACAAATCTAAATCACAAATGGTGATACAAAACCAATTAGCATTAGATATTAGAGGCCAAAGGAGGGACTTGTGCTCTCATCGAAACTAGTTGTTGTTTCTGTGTAGACCAAGACAAAAGAATAGACACAGACGTGATGACAATCCAAAGCCACTTAAAGACTTTTCATAAAATGGAAAAAAAAAAAACAACACCCAAACCAAAAAACCCAACCCTTTTTATGGGTGGGGTTGGACACCAGACATTGGTGGATGGTTTGGAAATGTACTCAAAATGTTGTTCAAATATATATATATATACACACACACACTGGCTATAATAGTAAGGTACATGTCTGTTGAGTTTGTTGCTGGCTGTGCTGAGATTATGTGCCTAAGCAGTGGGCAATTACTAAGCAAGAGATAAAGCTGACAGCAATGCAAATGCACGGGAGAGAAAGAAATTAAAGCAGAGGAAAACCAACTCTTGAATATACAAGTACAAAGGCTGCCCTGGGGTCCCAAGTCCCCCTGCGGTGTTCATTCTCCGGTCCCACGGACCCTGCTTGGAGGGCATCAGAGGTGGGATGTCTGTGGGGCTGGGCCGGCCCATGTGGGTCTGGGATCCAGAGGTCTCCTGGGCACCAGGAGGCAGGTGGAGATCTCTGGGGGGCACCAGGAGGTATTTCAGATTGAAGGAAGCCTTTTAAACTGTTGCCTTTACTCTTCAGGAACCTTCAGACCACGGAGACACCCTGTTTTCTTGGTCTTGGTGCCCTCTCCTGAGAGCTGTGGCACGGATGCAGCCCAGACCCTGGGGCTCCGGCTGGATGGGGACGCCCAGCCGGCACCGCGCAGGGGTGAGCGCAGCGTGCCCAGCAGTCCAGAGCAACGAGCATCCCATCACCTGGGGGAGCCAGGGCCGAGCGAGGCCTCACCTCTGTCCTGGTCCTCCATCCACCTTTCCCGGCATCAGCTCCCGGCAGAGACCTGCTGGCACAGGGGTGAATGAATCCCTTCGTTCGCTTTGCTTGTTTGCACAGCTTTTGCTTTACCTATTAAACTGTCTTTATCTCAACCCACAAATTTTCCTCACTTTCGCCCTTCTGAGCCTCCTCCCCTCCCAAAACCCTGGCAGGGATCACTGGTGAGCTCCCCGTGCCCCGGGCATGGAGGGGATTTCCACAGCTGCACGTGGGTGAATCCCTCATCTGCTTCAGCAACCCATCTGTTCCACCTGCCCAGCTCAGATACACTAAAGTCCTGGGAAGACGTGGCTGTGCTCAGGCATGGCATGCACGGGGCAATGCAAGGGACAAGCTCTAAGCCCAAAACTGATGGCAGTTTTGCACCCAAATGCCCTCAGAGATATCTTCAGCCCCTTTTGGTCCCCTTGAAGCAAGTACCCAAACTCCCAGAGCATCCATGCAGCACCTCCCATCCCCCTCCCTGCCCACCCCAGCGAGACCCACGAGGTTTCGGGAGGCAGTGGGAAGACCCCCCCCATCCCACCCCATCCCTTGGCCAGCCCCACGCCTCGACCAGCCGGCAGCAGCACCGCTGCTGGGGTCAGGAGAAGAAAGGACACCACTCTCCAATACCACATGAAGTAAACCTTTATTTTGCAGTTGTGCTCAGCAGGCAGATGCTGGCAGGGCCGGCAGCACCCTGGGAGCTGATGCCCAGCCGGACGACGTGATGCAGGGCTCTGGGGAGTCAGTGCCATCCCCCCGACACTGGGGACCTCCGCAGGCCTTTCCAGGAGGATGACTATAAACCGTCCTTCCCACCAGGACGTTGGGTAGCCTGAACCAGGGCACCCGCTCTACATCATGGGGCATTAAGTCCTTTCCTTTTTTGAAGCATCTCAACTGCTTTCTCCACCCAAGTCACCTCTGGCTTTGCACAGACCTTGGTCCCATTCCTGGTCTCAAACCTGCCGAGATAAAAGGTGAAGCTTGGTGAGAAATGACAGCTATAATTGCACTTGTGTCCGTGCCATCCTCCCTTCCCTTCGATCCTGCATGCTGGACGTGGTGTCCTACAGCAGCCCAATGCCTCTAGAGCCTGGGCAGAGGCTTCAGGAGCTGCAGTGGACTCATGTCCTTAACTCTGCCCTGTAGAAGTGGCCAGTCATGTCCTCCCCTCTGGAACACAGCCACCTGTGGAGGCCACGCAGACCAGGCCCGGTCCTGTTCCCAGATGGGATGGACAAACTGAACCTGTGGTGGCCCAGGAGATAGCACAGCAGTGGGGAAATTACTGGGACTTACACAACTGCTGGAGAAGAACACTCCTTGGGACTTGTGTGGAAATCCTTCAGGTTAGCCATCCGGAGACGGGACTTTACGTAACTGAAGCAGCACTCGACCGGGGTGTAAGGGGCTGGAGAAGAGAAAGAGAGACCATGAACTCTGGTTTTGGAAAGCAGGCTTTAAGACCTTCCCCAAGGAGGACCATCCCCCAAGTTCTGCAGATGCTGCCATGAGGAGCCCCGGGTGCTCTCCTTCCATCCCGGGGCAGGAGGCAGCTCCAGGTTATCGGCCAGCACCCTGCAGCCATTTTGCCAAAGCCACCCAGCCCCTGGACCAGTCTCCATCCTTCCCTGCGCCCCGACCGTGCAGCCCTGCCCTGACCAGGGGTTCTTCCTCCTGCCAGCAGCACCATCCCCGCTCCACACCAGGGTTTCTTGCCTGACCTCCCCAGCGGGATGCCCCTAAGCGGTGACCCATGAGGTGCCTTACCTGTATCATAGCGTGGGGAGAGGATGAGGAGCATCGCGAGCACCAGGACGGCCCTTGCAGTGAGCATGGTGGCTGTGTGAGGGCTCTTCCTTGCAGGCTGCTCTGCCTCTTCGGAGGAGCTCAACTGTGAGCTCAGGCAAAGAGGTGCAGCAATTTATCCTCTCACCCCCCTCCCCACATTAGCCCTTTTCCAAAGAATTTCGACCAAATTCAAGTGAAAGCCCTGTATGTTTTCTTCCGCCAAGGGGCTTTCCACATCACATGTGACCTCCAGGGTTACTGACCAAGATGATACCTAGAAAGACTGAGCAGACCTCAGCAACTTCTGCGTTATAGAGAGGGGTCTGTGGGAAAGCCACACGAGGGAAGTGAAATCCTCCTCCGCAGAGGCGTGAACTCGAGGGCTCCCAAACCCACGGAGACGGGATTTGCAGCAATAGGAAAGGCAAAGCCTGGCTTTGTAAAGTCACTTAGCCCCAGACACAACATAAACATGCCGGAGATGGTTGGATGGCTTGTGAACTCACTGGCGAGCATTAAGCAGAAAGGCAGTGATTGCTGCTGCCACCAGCCCACTGCAGCCTGAAAGCTGCAGGATGTCAAATACTGTCAGAAATTGCATCATATTTCATGCCGTTCCTAAGGAGAGGAGCACAAGTTTTCCACCAAAAAAAAGTCCCTGTTTATAGCTGGGAAGCATGGAGTGAAAGAGGAAGGGGGTGCAGTTGAGCCCTCCCATGCAGATGAGGCTGGCTTAGTCCCTTGGCTTCAGGGTCGGGCAGGAGGCCGAATCAGACCCAGAAGTGGAAGGAAAAGTTGACGATCAAAGTTCTTGGGTATTTCTTCCAACATCTTCCATCCCTTTGCAGCCTTGAAGCCTGCAGCAAAGTGTTGCAGATGGGGATCAGCCTCTCGGTGTTAACCTGGGGACAGCTTCTCCCCAATGTGTTTGATTCCCTCTTCCTCACCAGACCCTTCTGCAGGTCCTTGCCAATCGTGCCCAGCCCCTGCCTTGAACTTATCCTTCCCCCATTCCCTCTTTTTTTCCAGGCTGTAAATGAATGCATGGAGCAGCAGAGTCCCGTGCAGATCCCTGGGGCACCACAATCCCCCCTCATCCTCTGTGAGCTACCCAAGGGGCCACCTCAAGCCCATCTTCACATTGCCGCCCTCCAGCCACCCTCTGCTCCTTTGGAGCAGGACATTATGCCTGGGACTGCCTCATCCCTGGGTATCTTTTAAAAAACTTGGGAGAAAACCGCCCAGCGCTAAGCGCTCTGGTCATGCCCAGGTCTCCTCAACCCCAGCTGCAGGAGAAACATCTCCTGATGATGATGGTTCAAGAAGGAGCCCAGGCAGGGTATGCCAAGGCCATTCCCAGCCTTGGAGGAATGATTAAGGTACGTACTCAGACCCTGTAGCTGTTTTGCTTTGGCTCAGCTTTTGTGGAGAGATGGAGTTCCCACGTCTCGGAAGCATGACTTGGCCCAGGAGGACCTGGCATCAGGCCACCCTTGCTGTGTAGCTGCCAGAGGACTAAAAATAAAGCTTTTCTAAACAGGTCCCACAACGCCTAAGGACAGTGCCATTCCTTCCTGTGTGCGTTCAACCCAGCGACTCAGTGTCTCCCTGGGCTGTAACGAACTCCTCGTGCCTTCTTGCTGATCTCCAAAAGCATCTTTCCTTTCTCTCACAGCTTTGTGGGTGCTCCCTTCCTTTCTCAGCCACCTCCCCACCTCTGCTCTGCCCCAGGCTCCCTTCCTGCAGACTTGCATGCCTCTCCAGGAGCCTCCCCCCAACTGGGCCATGGCTGCTGGGACCAGAGCAGCCTCCCATCCCATGGAGATCGTCCCAGCAGACAGCCTTTTGGAGGCCATGATACTCTGCGAGCTGCAGCCAAGCTGGCAACGCTGAGCTGAGGGCATGGGCCACATCGCTGCTCTTGATGCATTTTTGTCTTGCATAGGAGCAGGACCCCCAAGTGCAGGTGGCATGATGCTGTCATACCCATGGCAGATGTCCTCAAGCTGGGGGAACACAGGTTCCCCTGCAGCCATGGCCTGCCCTAACCACCCTGGGGCAAAGCCACCATCCAATAGCTGGACCCTGAGCAACACAGAAGGATTTTGGGGATGATAGGCATGGCCTTGCCGCAAGTCCATGGCATGTCTCCCCCTGACCTGGGGCTTCACCCAACTCCTCCTCAGCTACACGGGGTGCTTCGGGTGGGCAGCACATAGTGCCAGTGGCTGAACAAGCACAGGGGCACCCAGCAGCCAGGGTCAGGAAAGAGACTGGATGGACAGGACATGGCCTCGGATGCTCTGCTTCCCCTTTGTCAAGTTTTTGAGACATCGCTATCGCAGCCAGATGATGCACAACTCCCTGGAGACCCTTTGATATTTATTCTTCTATTTTTTGAGAAGGGAAAAGCTGATGTGCAGTCATTAAACAAGGAGTTCTGGAAAGTCCCACTGCTGGCACAAGTTCCCTTTTAATTTGAATGTGCTCTGGAGAATTTACTTGTTTACATGAAAAAATAAACAGCATCCTCTTGATTCTGCAAGAGGAGGGAGGGGGGGGAGCTTGGGCCCACCTCAGGTGCAGCGTTTGCCAGAAAACGTGCCACTGTGGGGAGGCAGGAGCTGGGCAGAACAAGCCCCACGCTTGGAAATGGGGTCTTGGCGAATAGCTGAGCCCACCCCACTCTGCTGGAAAACACCGCCACACGCTCCCGGTGCTGCTCGGGAGAGGACGGGCTCTGCGTTGTGAAAGCGGCTGGGCTGCCAAGGCGGGAGAGGGGTGGCTGAGCATCACCCAGTGCCTGAAACCCATCCCCACGGAGGCGGTGGGAGGGTGAGGAATAAGATTTTCCCTTCTTTTCTATCCGGTCACTTTGAGTCTTCTCCATTTACAATATGAACCCTTCTAGTTTTCCTTCTGCTGAAACCTTTCTGAGTGTAAAGCCCCTCCACATTTCTTTGGGGTGCTCAGTCAAGGGTGTCCCCGGGTCCATTTTGAAGCTCTGGTTGACTCGGGATACAATCACAAACCCAAGGCAACACTCTCAGTCCTTCCCGGAGCCAGCGCTCACCCTGCGACTCCAGGCATGACCGTCCCAGGTCCTATAGCCTGGAAAGACACTTTAAAAAGAGGAAAACGAGAGCCTCTTCCACAGCCTGCTTCCTACCGCTGGACACTGGGGACCACCAAGTACTGGAAGGTGGCGATCCAAGCCACATCCTGTGCGGTAAGTCCTGCCTGGCATCACGAGACACGGAGGCTGCAGGAAGGATGTGTCCAGGAGCCCTTCCCCAAGGATTATCTGCACTGAGTCGCTGGGCGAGCTCACCCACCGGCCCAGGGGATAGCGGAGGAAGGCGGC